GAGGGCGAAAGGGATAATTTGGCACATGTGTGTGGTGATGGGTTGTAATTGGTATTTGAGTGGTGAACATGATGTAATCTATGTAGAAATAGAAGTATAACAATGTACACCTGAAATTTATACAATGTTATAAACCAATGTTACTGCAATAAACAAAAATTAAAAAAAAAAAAACAAGTGATGCTAAAGGTTTTCATATGTTTATTTGACTTTTTCATTTTTCTTTTGTAAATTATTCATGATTCTTTACCATTTTTCTATTTGGGTATTTACTTTTTATAATTGATGTGTAAGAGCTATTTTGATATTTTTACTATTTGATGTTTATCTTTAAATTATTTTTGTATGTACAAAGGTGTTTTTTCTTAGTATTTACTTTTGTCAATCTTGTCCATGGTAGAATTTTTCCTTACTACATGCCTATAGAGGTTTCAAATCAGAAATATATTTGCTTACATATTCATCTAGTTCCTTCATAGTTTTATTTTTAACATTTAACCCTTAATCCATATGGACTTTGCTTTGATGTATGACATGAGGCAGGGATCTAACTTATCTTGTCAGATATTTGCCTTGTTAATGAATAATTCAGGTTTTCCATGCCTTGAAATGCCATGTTTATCACTGCCACATTCTTACAACAACTTGTGCTATTTCTTGGGCTCTGTGTTTTGCTCTATGGATCTATGTCTCTATTCCTGCAGCATATCAATTATTTTATTCTTTCAAATAAATGTTAGCATCACTTCTATTTTGTAATATGTTCTGGCAGTAAAGACCCCTCTTGTTACTATTTCAGGAAATTCCGTTCATCAGTCACATGACACTTACAATCATCTTGTCAAATTAACAGAAGAATGCCATTGGAACTCTGGTTGGAATCACATTAAATATGCACACTAATTCCTAGATAATTAACATCTCCACAACACTAAGTCCTCTTTTAAATAAAATTTTTATCTTCCATTTCTTCAAGCATTTTTTTGGATCCCAAAAAAGTGTTTAAATCTTCTACTTACATGTCCTACCTAATTCTTGTTATATTCATTTCTAGATGACTTTGTTGCTGCTGTGAATGGTATTTTTCCCCACTATATCCCACTTGGTTTTTAATTATATAAAGAAAGTAATTAAGTTATGAATATTTATTTTTTACTAGACATCTTACTAATATCTTCAATTAGGTCTCATAATTATTTAGTTAATTCCTTTAGGTTTTCAGGTAATCATTCATCATGTAATATAATAACTTTATCTTCTCTTTCTCAACATCTATTTATAGAGAGATCTGTCATTTTATTAGTTTGAATTTCAAGAACTTTGAAAAATAGGAAGGATGTAAAATGTTCTTTTCCTTCTCTTAACTTTAATATATGCCTCAAGTATGCTTCTAGATTTTAGCCATTAATCACAATGTGGGTTTTTTTGGCGTCAAAGAGTATATTTATCTGAAATTTAAAGAAAGATAAATTTTTCTATAATATTATTTTAAAAATTTGGATTTCCTTATTTTGAACCATTTCTGGAATACCCCTACTTGTTCACTTTACATAATTCTTTATATATTTTATGGTCGTATGTTGCATAATGACATTTCAGTCAATGACAGACGGCATATCAGTCAGCGGTTCCATAAGGATTAGTACCATATAGCCTAGGTGTATAGTAGGCTATACCATCTACATTTGTGTAAGTACACTCTATGATGTTTGCACAATGAAATTGCCTAATGACACACTTCTCAAAATGTATCCCCGTCATGATGTCATGCATGACTGTATGTAACATTTGATTTAGGATTTTAGCATTTATATTAGAAAATGAGCCAGAGATATATTTTGTTTTATTTGCAATCTTTGGCAAACTTTAATATGGACTTAATTGTATTTCTGTGCTCTGTGACAGTTTAAATAATCTTTTTATTATCTATTTCTTGAAGTTTAAACGAAGTTACCAAACTGGGCCATTTTCTTTATTTGAAGGCACTTCTTTATGGTGGCTTTAAATATGCCCACATATTCTTTTATGCACTTTCCTTTAAGTTCTGGAGCCTAATTCCTCTCCACTTGAACATGGGCTGGGCTTAGTGACTTGATTTTAGTGAATAAGATAAAATGTAAGGGACAGTAAGCAACTTCAGAGACTAGGTCAGAAAGGCACTATGATGTCTTACTCTGTCTTTCAGATTCCTCATCTAGGAGAAGCCAGCAGCCCTTAGAAGAGGCCCCTGAGGTGAGGAACCAAAGTCTCCTGCTAACAGCCATGTGAGTGAGCCTTCTTGGAAATGGATCCTCCAGCCCCAGTCAAGCTATTAAATGACTGCAGCCATTTATAAAGCCAATTTATAAAATAGGCAGAGCTCTTGAATAGGCATTATCCAAGGATGATATACAAATGGCCAATAAACACATGAAAAGATACTAAACATCATTAGTCATTTGGGAAATCCAAATCAAACCCACTTTGCACCTTCTAGGATGGCTATGATAATAATTTTTTAAAAAGAGAAATACTTAGAATCATGCAACGTCCCAAAAGTGAATCAAGAAGAAATAGAGAATTTGAAGGGACCAATCACAAGTAAAGAGATTGAAACAGTAATCAAAAGCCTCCCAATAAACGAAAGCCCAGGATCAGACCTCTTGTCTGGTGAATTCTATGAGACATTCAAAGAATATTTAATACCTTTCCTTCTCAAACTCTTCCAATAAATTGAAGAGGATGGAATGCTTCCGAGCTCATTTTATGAGGTAAACATTACCTTGATACCAAAACCAGAAAAGGACAACACAAAAAAAGGAAAATTACAAGACAATATTGCTAATTATGTTTGATGCAAAAATCCTACACAGAATATTAGCAAATCAAATATAGCAATACATTAAAAGGATCATACACCATGATCAAGTAGGATTAATTCCAGGGATGCAGGGATGATTCAACATCTGCAAATCAATTAACGTGATACACCACATTAATAAAATGAAGAATAAAAATCACATAGTCATCTCAATAGATGCAGAGAAGGAATTTGACAAGATTCAACATCCATTTATGACAAAAACTGTCAATAAGATGGTTATAGAAGGAAAGTAATAGATATTTTTCTTCATTTATTTATCAAGAAATCTCTGTATTTCATTTAACCGTCACAACTATACTTCATTATTTTAACAGAAATTGTATGAACTATGTAAGCCTACACAAAGTGTGCTACACCAGCCGGTTATAGAAAAAACTCACCCAACTCATGGTATTTTAAGGCTTGTGTATACAAGGTACAAATAGAAAGAAAATTTATCTACAAATTGCCATGACAAAATAACATTATCACATGGAATGCAAGTTATGTTTTATATACTTTAACCTACATATAACCATAGCATTTAAGAAAGTTACCTCGCCTTGCTAGAAATCCTAACGTGGGGGAACTCTGAAGAAATGTATGATCTGCACGTGTCTACACATACTACCGATTCCAGGTGTCATGATATTTGCACTATTAAAATAACAACAAATGTCAATTATCACCAAATCGGGACACATTGTTTCTCTAACTACAGAAAAATGAAATATGATATTTCCATGATGAACTCTAGGGTCTCATAATGCAGGATTATTAGTAACCAAAATAATACCTAAAGTTTTCATGTTTTTAAGTGGTAGTGATTCATCACTGGGACTGGGATGTCCTAGAAAAAAAGAAAAAAATGGAAACGGAAATGAGTCAAAAAAAAAAAAAAGAAGAAAAAATAATGAGGCTTAAAGACTGCTAAATTCATAGGTTTGATTTTTTGCCTTTGTATAAAAATCCTCATAACTTCATTTTCATATATAAATTATATTAATGTTTCTCATTAAAAGTAGTATCACAAAGTCTTATAAAGTTATATTTAATGTAATTAGCACTCTTCTTCCTGTCCAGTAACATTTCCTGTGACAATTCTGTGGTACAGCAAGAAAATTTATCATTAATATATTTTCAGAATTAGCCTATGGACTCAGTGTGATTTTCCTTAAAATGAAAAGATATTGGAGGGCTTAATAAACGATTTAGAAGTTGATTTGCAATAAAAGGAAACTTCAGCACAGTAAAGGTGATTAACGAAAAACCCTTAGGTAACATCATAAGTGAAAGACTGAAAGTTTTTCCCTTAAGATAAGGAACAAGACAGGATTCCTGTGTTTGTCGCTTCCATTCAACATAATATTGGAAGTTCTAGTCAGAGCAATTAGGCAAGAAAAAGAAATAAAAAGCACCCAAATTGGAAAGGAAGAAACAAAATGATCCCTGTTCCAGATGACATGTTCTTTTACAGAGAAAACTCTAAAGATACACACGTGCACACATGCACATTCACACATACACACACACAAACACAAATCTGTTAGAATAAATGAATTCAGCAAAGTTGCAGCTACAAAATCAACAAACAAAATTCAGTTGTGTTTCTATACATTAACAATGAAAGATCCAAAAACAAAATAAAAAAACAATTTCATTTATAATAGCATCAAAAAGAATAAAATACTTAGGAATAAACTTAACCAAGGAGGTGAAAGACCCGTATACTGAAAACTACAAAACATTGCTGACAGAAATTGAAGACGACATAAATAAATGACAAGATATCCTATGTTCATGGATTGGAATAGTTAATTTGTTAAGAAGTTAATACCATACCAAGCAATCTACAGATTAAATGCAACCCCTATCACATCTTGAACGTGCATTTTGCAGAAATAGAAAAATCCAACCTATAATTCTTAGGAAATCTCAAGGGACTAGGAACAGTCAAGACAATCTCGAAAAAGAAGAGTAAAGTTGAAAGGACTCTCACATCCTGATTTTACAACTTACTGAAAAGCTACAGTACCCAGTACAAAGTAGTACTGGCATAAAGACAGACACACAGACCAATGGAATAGAACAGAGGGCCCAGAAACTGACCCTCGCATATATGGTCAAATGATTGTCCACAAGGGTGCTAAGAACATTAAATGATGAAACAGCAGTCTTTTTAACAAATAGTGCTTGGAAAACTGGATATCTATAGGCAAAAGAATGAATTTGGACCTTTATCTTACACAATATACAAAAATTAATTCAAAATGGGTCAAAGAACTAAACTTAAGAGCTAAACCTATAAAATTCTTAGAAGAAAACATGGAGGACAATCTTCATGATGTTGATCTGGCAATGATGTCTTGGATGTGACACCAAAGCACAGGCAACAAAGGAAAAATAGATAAACTGGACTTCTTCAAAATTAAAAAATGTGTGCATCGATGGACACTATCAACAGTGAAAAGGCAATCCACAGAATGGGAGGAAACATTTGCAAATCATACATCTGATAAGTGATTAGTGTCCAAAATATATAATGACCTCCTAAAACTAAAAAAAAAAAAAAAAAACCCAATTCAAACATAGGCCAAAGACTGAATAGACATTTCTTCAAAGAAGATATAGAAAAGACCAATAAGCATATGAAAAGATAATCACTAACCATTAGGGAATGCAAAGAAAAGCCACAATGAGATACTACTTCACATGTATTATTATGTCTATTACCAAAAAACAGAAAAATAACAAGTGTTGGCAAAAGAGGCGGAGAAATTGGAACCTTTGTGCGTCACTGGTGGGACTGTAAATTGGTGCAGCCACTGTGGAAGACAGGATGGTTGTTTCTCAAAAAAGTAAACACAGAATTATCATATAACCCAGCAATTCTACTCCTACATATATATACCCCAAAATTGAAAACAAAGACTCAGATACTGGAATGCCAATATTCAGAGAAGTATTACTCAGAATAGCCAAAAGGTGGGAACAACTCAAGTGTCTATCAACAGATGAATGGATAAACTAAATGTGGTATATACAAACAATGGAATATCATTCAGCTATAAAAAGAAATAAAGTTCTCATATATGCTATAAGATGGATGAAATTTAAAAACATTATGCTAAGTGACGTAAGCAAGAAGTGATTCTACTTCTGTGAGGAACTTAGGATAGTCAAATTCATAGAGATAGAAAGTAGAATAGTGGTTACCTGCCTGGGGGAATGGAGTTCTTGTTTTTGGGTATAAAGATTCAGTTTGAGATGATGAAAAAGTTTTGGAGATAGAAAGTAGTGATGGTTGCACAACAATGTGAATGTAATTAATGCCACTGAAATGTACACTTAAAGGGTTAAAATGGTAAACGTTAAAATAAAAGTTGATCTTAAAAAATTAACATAGAGGAGCCTGAACATTTTTGAAAAGAAAGTGTTCTACCAGATATTAAAACATATCATAGAACTACAGTGAAAAAAACAATTTGGTGCTGGCACAGGATTGGACAGCGTTCAAGGGAACAGCAGGATGACTGGAACACCTATGAATTTAATGGACGATAAAAACTGGCACTTCAAAACAGTTGGAGAGAAAAACCTATTCAAAAAAGTGTGCAATTAGCCATTGGATGGGGTGGGTGAAGTGGAGAGGAACCCTGTCTCATTCCATGTACCATAATGAATTTCAGATGTACCATTGCTTTAAATGCAAAGAATGCAATCAGAATGCATGGTTGAAATGTTTACATAATGTAGCATGGGAGAGACCTAAAACTTTTATAAGAAAGACATAATACTCATAGCCTTTAGGGAAAAAATCAATACATCCAACTACCTATTAATGCAAAACTTCTACACATACAAATGACCACTGATAGCAGAATATTTCAATAAAACATGATATATAGAATTAGAATTTAAACAGAGGGCCTGTTCCAGGAAGAGAGCTAGCACCAGAGATAACTACAAAGAATATGAGCTAGGGGTGGTACAGTCCCCAACAGCAGAAATACTACAATGATAAATGAGTGTAAATACCCAGACACTTAAAGAATTTTGAAAAAATCACCAGAAACTTAAAGGATTTTGAAAAATATAAGCAGAAAGTTACTCAACCTGAGACACTGCACTTTGGAGGTTTTGTACTGGGAAGAGTCGACACTGGAAAACAAAACAATGTAGACTGGATCACTCACTAGGGAATTAGTGCTTTCTTTTCATTTATATGAATTATGCTTTTTATTTTTGACTTATTTAGGTAAAAATTCCCATGCTTCAATTTTCTCAAAAATGGTTGTTATCCATTTTTACACATACAAACGCAGAACACTAGAAATTTATACACCTATGTGATGTACATAAGGTGCTAAGACCCTATGAAAACATGCAAAATCACAATAGAGGAATTCCTTGTGGATTTTATATCATATATGTGTCACAGAAATGAATACAAGACAGAGTAAAATACTAAAATTACTTCTTTTCAATTATTCTGTACCATTGACATTTAACATCAAAGAAATAAAATCTGAGAAAAAAAACAAAACAAGAAGGAAGAAGACACTTTGTACCTTTAATGCACGTTGGCATTGCAGGCTCCCAAGTACTGTTAGCGCCACACACAACTGTGTCGCTGCCACTGAGGTAAAAACCCTGGTCGCATTCAAATACGACCATCACTTTGTAGTAAAATTTCTTTCCAAATCCTGATACCAGTCTTCCATTTTTGAGTACTGGATGTTCACATTTGACCACTGAAAAGTGGAGAAATTACAGAATAAATGGAAAGATGCTTTAACAGAGCACCAGAAAAACTAGTGCAAAGTAGCAATTTCCAGTGGGAACAAAGAGACATGGAATGAAAGGCAAGATGTTAATTTAAAAAAACCAAAACTTTATGTGGGCATTTTATTTCCAGGTAAACAGATTTAGAGAAATCTAATAACATTTTTCTACCTAGAATAGACTACCATTATACTTTTTTGGCTTTCCTACATTTTTTTTCATTACTGACAAGTTTTTAGAAAGGTCAGACTACCATACACAAAGTCCAGGTAAATTCAAAAGCAACTTTTTTTTTTTTTGGTGAGGAAAATTACCCCTTAGCTAACATCTGTTGCCAATCCTCACCCTATTATTGCTGAGGAAGATTGGCCCTGGGCTAACATCCGTGCCCATCTTCGTCTAACTTTTATATGTAGGACGCCTGCCACAGCATGGCTTGAGAAGCGGTGCGGAGATCAAATCTCAGGATCTGAACAAGCAAATACAGGGCCACCAAGTGGAGCACACCAAGTTAATCACTATGCCGCTGGGCCATCCCCCCAAAAAAGCAACTTTTAATACTCTCTAGCTCTAGGGGTTTTTTTAAGCATGCAAACACTGGTTACAGTACCCTGCTTTTTGAGAAAGTTAGGGAAGACTTTTTGAGAAGGGAATATTGAGCTCAAATTTAAAAGCTGCAAAGAAGCTAGACATGCAAAGATATGCAAACACAAAGTTCAGAGGCAACAACATACCCGAACTGGGATGTTCACGAAATAGAAAGGCCAATGGAGTTAGGGAAGTGTTTTCCGAACATTTTGGCCTGCAACCCAGAGACCAAGAAACACATTTTACGTTGTAAACCAGTATACAAGCACACAGACCTGCAACAAAGTGAGTACTTAGCCTCCATACCAGTGTACTCTGGTACTTCCCATTCCACTCTACTTCTGAAGAAGTAAACGCTGGTCATCACCCTCTAGATTGATTTCAAGATCAATTAATCGGTTTGGAAGAATTTGGGAGAAAAAAAAAAAAAAAAACATCTGCCCTGGGCACTGAGTACAAGACAACACCTTTTGAGATTAATCCTGAGCAATAGCTCAGGGCCAGGTGATGTCGAGCCTTTTCAGCCAGAAGAGTGCTCTTCCTCCTTTCCCGGGGATCTGAGTTTCCCTCAGGTGTCATTTCCCTTCAGCCTGAAGAACTTCCTTGAGCAATTCTTGTAGTGCAGGTTGGCTTGTGACAAATCCTCTTAGCTCTTGTTTATCTGAAAATGTTTTTATTTATGTGACCTTCAGTTTTGAAGACTTCTCCTTGACAGAGAGTTCTGGGTTAGGTGTTTTCTTTCTCTTGCAGCACATTAGCAGGTATTATTGTCCTCTGGTGTCCACAGTTTCTCCACAGTTCCTTAAGGGAAGCAGCTGTCATTCTTCCTTGTGAGGGTGGGGGCAGGAGATAATGGATTTGTTTCCCCTCTCGCTGGCTGCTTTTTCTTTTATCTTTTGTTTCACTAGTTTTACCAGGATGCGTTTAGTTCAATGAGAGTTTCTTGGTAACTTTAAAAAATTTATTTATCCTGCTGGGTCACTGAATTTTCTGGACCTGTAGGGTTGTTGTTTTTCATCAAATATGATCTTTGGCCCATATTTATTCAAATAATTGTGTGTACTGTTCCTTCTCCTCTCTTCCTGAAACTCCAATTACATGTATGTTTGACTGCTTGCTACTCTCCCACAGGTCTGAAAGCCTCTCTCCCTCTTTTCTTTAATATTTGTTTTCAAAACCTATTGGATGTCTATTGTCCTGACTTCCAGTTCACTACTCTTTTCTCTGTTGTGCTAAATTACTGTGCTAAACTGCACTAATGATTTTCTTTAAATTAGATTTAATGGATATAACTTACATACAATAAAATTCACCCTTTTAAGTGTACAGTTGTATGCGTTTTCACAAATGCAAATAATCATGTAATTACCACCCCAATAAAGACAGACAAGTTCCATAAGCCCCCAACATTTCCTCATGCCACTTTATAATCCACCCTCCACACCCTCCCAACCGCCTGCCCCAAGGAGCCAACCACTGGTCTGGTTTCTATCTCTATTGTGTTGCTTTTCCAGAATGTCAGAATGGGATCACAGCCTCTGAGTATGACTTATTTCACTTAGTGTAATGCATGTGAGATTTATTCCTGTTGCTGCATAGAGTAGATGCTCATTCTCTTCTACTGCAGAGTCTTATTCCATTGTATGGATATATCATGGTTGTTGATCCATTCACCAGTTAAAAAACATGTGGGTTGTTTCCAGTGTGGGGCGATTATGATTAAGGCCGCTATGAATATTCTCAAACAGGTTTCTTTGTGAACATGTGTTCATTTTACTTGGATTGCTGAGTTGTGTTAAGTGTCTGTTTAACTTTATAAGAAATTACCAAGCTGTGTTTCAAAATGCTCATGCCACTTTGCATCCTTACCAGCAATGTATGCAAGTTCCAAGTGCTCCATACCTTGCCAATACTTGGTATTTTTACCTTTTTGTATTTGTTTTTACTTTTAGTCATTCTAGTAGGTGCATAGAGGTATCTCATTGTGCTTTTAAATTACACTTCTGCGATCACTAGCGATATTGAGCAATTTTTCACGTACTCTTTTGCCATCCGTACATCTCCATGGATGAAATAGGTCTATTCAAATATTCTGTCCATTTTTTAAGAATTGTGATATTTTCTTATGATTGTGTTTTCAGAGTTCTTTATATATTGTATATAGAAGTCCATTATCAGATATGTGCTTTGCAAATATTTTCTCCCATTCTATGGCTCTGTTTTCTCATTCTTCTAACAGTGTCTTTTGAGAGCAGAAGTTTTGAGTACTTAAGAAGTCTAATTTATTAACTTTTTTTTCTTTAAAGAATCATGCTTTTGGGGTTGTATTTAAGAAATCTTTTGCTAAGTCACAAATGTTTTCTCCTAAAAGTCTTATAGTTTTAGGTTTTACATTTAACTCTATGATCCATTTTGAGTAAATGTACATGGTGCTAACATGAGTTCTTTTTTTTTTTGCATATGTATGTCCAATTGTGCCTGTATTTTACCCTTTTTCCACTGAATTGTTTGTACACCTATGACAAAGTCAACTGAACACCTCTAAAAGGGTCTATTTCTGGGTTCTTTGTTCTGTTCCATTGCTCTATATGGTTATCTTTGCACCAATAGCACACTGTCTTGATGACATGCTTTATAGTTATGTTTTATAATAAGTCTTGACATTAAGTAGAAGGGGTCCTCTAACTTTTTTAAAAAATTATTTTGATTATTCTACTTCTGGTTTTTCACATAAATTTTAGAATGAGTTTGTCAATTTCTACAAAAAGTTCTGCTGGAATTTTTATTGGGATTATGCAGAATTTATAGATCAATTAAGGAGAACTGACACATGTATTATACTGAAGTCTTCCAATTCATGACCAATGAATTACTCTCTATTTATTAAGGTCATCTTTAATTTCTTTTATAAGTGTTTTGCTGTTTTTACCATTCAAATCTTGCACATGTATTGTTAGATTCACATGCAAGTATTTTGTGTATTTTGGAGCCGCTGTAAAAACTACTTAAAAACATTTCAATTCCTAATGGTTTATTACCAGTGTATAGACATACAATTGATTTCTGTATGTTGATCTTGTGTCTTCTAACCTTGCTAAAACTTTAGTCTTTCAAATTTTCTACACAATCATGTCATAAGTGAATAAAGTCTATTGTATTTCTTCCTTTCTGCAATGTTTATCTATTTCTACCTTTCCCCGTATTGTACTGGCTAGGACCTCTGATACAACGCTGAATAGAGACGTGCGAATATACACCCTTGTTCTTACCTTAGTGGGAAATTAAACTAGTCTTTTACCATTAAATACAATGTTAGCTGTGGGATTTTTGCAGGTGCCTTCTATCACGTTCAGATAGTTCCCTTTTATTCCTAGTTTGCTGAGAAGTTCTATCATGAAAAGATGATGAATTCTATTAAATGCTTTTTTTCTGCATCTATTAAGATGATCATGTGATTTTTTTCTTTAGTCTCTTGAAAAGGCAAATTACACTAATTAATTTCTGAATTTGAATCAACCTTGCATTCATGGATTAAATCCTACTTGATTATGATATATTCCTATTTTTATATATGACAGGATTTTATTTGTTAATATATTGTTAAGAAAGTTTGGTTCTATATTCATTATGGATGTTGTTTGTTATTTTCTTGCAATAATTTTGTCTGGTTTTGGCATTACGGCAATGTCCTTCTCGTGATATAATTTAAGAAGTATTACCTCCTCTTCTATTTTCTTGAAGAGTTTCTGTAGAGCTGCTATTATTTTTCCCTTAAATGTTTAGTAGAATTGCCCAGTGAGCACATGGGGCCTGTAGTTCTCTTTGTGAGAAGGATTAATTTGTCAAATTTATAGGCATAAAATTGTTTATTTTATTCCCTTCTTTCAATGTCTGCAGGATATTTAGTGATATGCTCTTTTTCATTCTTGATACTGGTAATTTATGTTTTCTCTTTCTCTTGTCAGATTAGCTGTAGGTCTATTCATTTTACTGATCTCCAAGACAAGGGTGTTAGTTTCATTGATTCTCTATTTTTTTTTCTTTTCAGTATCACTGATTCTCTCTATCTTATTCCCTTCTGTTTCCTTCTTTTGCATTTAATTTGCTCTTCTATTTTCTTATGGTAGAAGTTTAATCTTTTCAGACTTTTCCCTTTTTCCAATCTAAGTATTTCATGATATAAATATCCTCTATGCAATGCTTTTCCTGTATCCCACAAATTTTGATATGTTGTGTTTTCATTTTTATTCAATTCAAATCACTTTCTTTTTTTTTTTTTTTTTTTTTTTTTGTGAGGGAGATCAGCCCTGAGCTAACATCTGTGCTAATTCTCCTCTTTTTGCTGAGGAAGACCGGCTCTGAGCTAACATCTATTGCCAATCCTCCTCCTTTTTTTTTTCCTTCCCCAAAGCCCCAGTAGATAGTTGTATGTCATAGTTGCACATCCTTTTAGGTGCTGTATGTGGGATGCGGCCTCAGCATGGCCAGAGAAGCGGTGCGTCGGTGTGCGCCCGGGATCCAAACCCGGGCCGCCAGCAGCGGAGCGCACGCACTTAACCGCTAAGCCACCGGGCTGGCCCCAAATCACTTTCTAATATCCCTTTTGACTTCCTGTTTGACTCAATTGTTAGGCAGTAGTGTCTTGCATAATTTTCACATATTTGGGGAATTTACAGTATCTTTATTAGATTTCTACATTCATGCCATTGTGGTCACATAATGTACTGTGAATGACTTCAACTTTTTGAAATTTGTTAAAGAAATTATCTTATTTCCTAGAATATGGTATTATAAAATGTTCCAAGTGAACTCGCAAAGAGTAAATTGTTGTGATTCAGTGGTTCCTTTCTTTCAAGAGTCAAATCCCCTCCAATGCCTCCCTCCTTTTGGTCACTCTCAAGTGCCTGAAATATTCCTTTTTAAATATGTTCTGACATATTTTTCAATCTTATCAGTGAGAGAGCTAGTATTTTACAATGTATTCTACCATTTCCTATAGCCACAACTCTCAGACATCTTGTAATACAACCTAAATCGTTCTCATTTTTAAGCCAGTGTGTGTTGTTTTTTGATGCTTTCTAGCAAAAAATCCTAACTCAGGCATATACACAGTTGTTTACAATGTAAAATTGGAATGCCAAGAACATGCGAGGTGAGGGATGGGGGGGAACTCTGCAACTAGAACTGTTTTTGACTCAATTTGACCTATATTTAATTAAATTAGAAGTCAATTTAACAGGAGGAGGAAGCACATATGACTGTTTTATTTAGCTGTAGGTAAAACTATTTTTAAAGTATTTCTACAGTATTTACACATGAAAAAGGAAATAAATGGAAACATTTTTACCTTTACACTCCGGAGGGTCACTACTCCATTTGTCATTCCCAGAACAAACAAGCCTGCTCTCTCCGACAAGTGAATATTCATCTGGTCCATCTGAAGGATCACAACTATAAGTTACTACATCATTGTACGTAAATTCCTCCTGGTCCCTTCTGGTGTATTTTCCATTTTGTATTTTTGGAGGTGGGCTACAAGACATCACTTAAAAAGAGAAAAAAAGAGGACATGAAAGGCAAAAGGAAAGGTAAAAGATTAAGACAGCGTTAATAAAGTCCTATGAACTCCTTCAATAGATTCATTAACATATGATTTGTACAATCTGGTCATAAATCCAATATCCAATTAGAAGGAGGATTCTATGAGGAACTGCATTATCCCCAATTTAAACCATTAACAATGAAATGAACTTTCAAAATAAAACCTATTTTCTTAAATACGTATAATAAAATATCTATATGAAATATCTACATTTATCTACAAGGCCATGCTACATGTTCTTCTCATCATAAGACATGCTGACAATTTAAGGACAAAATATGCTTGTGATTAAAAATAAAACTCAGTGCTACTTGAGAAATGCTTTGTAATTTATAAATATATCCATTTGCTATATCGGAAGTTCACAATACCAAGATAGTATTGTCTTTTGTCACTTTCATCCTTACGAGTGTATTGTGAAATTTTCCAGAGGCTACAAATTACGTGATAATGCAACAGACTGAATCCAGATGTCATCCTTTAAGAAAGATATTGAGGGATTTGCGATAATGTAAAACAATGCCACTATTCTCACGATTGCTTTTGGAAAACTGATGTTTCACAAAAATACGTAGCATATGTTACCATGTATTGTGCTAAGTATTCTTAAAAATGAATTAACAAATAATTATTTAAAAACATCTCAGTTTTAATTCCAATATAACGAATATCAAGATAGAACCCACATAAACGGAAGGTCGTTGGGGTCTTTGTCAATTTAATAGGGGAAAGGGGTTCTGAGGCCAAACAGTGTGAGAACTGCTGCTCTAAATTCTAAAGAGAGAATACACTTACCTTGACATAATGGGGGATTGTCACTCCAATCCACATTTTCTCCAACAAGTTCACAATATAGAATGTTTTGTCCAATTAAGTTAAAACTAAAAAAGAAAAATTGACTGTGTTCTTTAGAGTTAAAAAGATGCAAATAATAATGAAGAAAGTTTTTATATTGTTGTTTTCCTGCATGACAGTAGTTTGAGAAGAAGTTTCTAAAATAATGAAACTGCTAATAAAATATGTAACTTAACTAAAGAGTTTCTGCATTTGAACACACATTGGCCAAGAGGAACAATGTCTAAATAAATCTGTCATACCTGTTGGTATGGACTCTTTGCTATCTCTGGCAATCATATTACACATTCATTTCTATGCCCTTGCTCACGCCATCTGCTCAGTAAGGACAATGAGTGAGTAGAGAGAACAGGCCCTAGAGCTTGCCCACCTGGATTCAAGTCCCAGCTCCATGACTGACTTGTTATTTGAGCTTGGGCAAGTCCCTTAATGTTTCTTTTGCTCAGGTTCCTCATCTATGAAGAGGGGATATAGTACATACCTCAGGGGGTTGTTCTGAGGATTTGATGATTAGCATCTGGCACACAGTGAGTGCCAGGTAAGTTTTAGCTCCCATTAATATTCATTAGATCAGAATATCTTTCTAGGAATAGCTCAAGAACACTGCTGGATGAAATCTTCTCTGATGATTTAAATTCACAGTACTCTCTCCTCCTTCTGGACTCTCATTGCAATGATCATGAGTAATTCTATGTATTTGGTACTTCTCATGTACTATTTTGCTTTGACACCTCTCTGGATTTACTGTGTTTCTCAAGAAGGGTACAACTTCTTTGAGAAGAGCCTCTGTCTTACTTTTGGTATCCTTCAAAGTGCCTAGCAGGCTCTCTCTCTAACACTATTAACTGGAAGTTCAATATTTTTATTCAATCAAGTTATAACAGTAAATGAAACTTCCTGTACACACTTCCAGCCAACTTTTCCCCTAAGTGTCACTCATTGATTCTACATTAGAATATATTAGGAGTGGATTCTGGGATGATGGCAAAGTAGAAAGCACCAGGAATCTGTTTCCCACCTAGACAACAATTGCACTGCCTGATGTAACTATTTTGGAACATTGGAGTCTATTCATAGCTTGCAATTTCCAGGGGAAGACTTAGGTAATCTGCATTAATTTAAGTCAATTTCAGCTAATTGTGGCAGCTACCCAACTCCACCCCCAAGAGGCAACTGTGCATGTGTCCCTGGAGCAGCTTAGAAGCAGCCTGTAGGAGCCAGATTGGGCAAAAAGGACTCTGTCCTCAAATTATCCGGGATCTGTGCTCTTATCACTGAGTGCTGCTTCTGATCACAGAGAAGCTGACAAAGTGGTGGGCAGCCATTGCTGTCACAACTACCCCTACTCTTGCAAGTCCCTTCCACAACAGCTAAAGTGACGTTCAAGGGATTTACAGATTCAGCGCCATTTGCCGCTCCTGCATTTTGCAATTTTTCCCATTCCAGGGACCGGACATTAAAAACTAGGACATTCAGAAACAACTGCATATGCAGGGAAAATTAGAAAGTGACTATGCACACCAGGAAAAGGTTCAGAAAAGACCTGAGAAGTCCTTCAGTTTCATGTCAGGCTGATCCTCAGCATGGAGGCACCCTACAACAACAAACAAAAAAAAACAATAAAACATCAAGCATTAGGAAAAGGGGATAATCTCTCCAGAGTTACCGCATTATTAGATTCAAAGGTCCAGTTCAACAAAAAATTACATGGTATACAAAGGAACAGGCATGCCCCATTCAAAGAAAAATTAAATCAATAGAAATTGTCCCTGAAAAGACCTCATGGTAGATTTACTAAACAAAGACTTTAAAACAACTGTCTTGCACAGGTGCTCTTGGTGGCAAAACGGAGGTTTCCACTACCGTCACCCTCTTTTTCCTCATTGAGGGGATGAGCGGCAGAAGCAGAGATGCAGATTTTTATGAAGATCCTGATGGGCAAGACCATCTCTCTTGAGGTTGTGCCCAGTGACACCATTGAGAATGGCAAAACCAAAATCCAAGATAAGAACGGCATCCTACCTGAGCAACAGTGTCTGATTTTTGGAGGCAAATACCTGGAGGATAGTCACAGTCTCACAGACTACAATATCCAGAAAGACACCACTGGATACTTGGTGCTTCACCTGTGGGGCAGCATCATTAAGCTTCTCCTCTGCCAGCTCACCCGAAACACAACTGCTACAGGATGATCTGCAAGTGTTATGCTCGCCTATACCCCTGTGCAGTCAACTACTGTAACATGTGTGGCCACATCAACAACCTGTGCCCCAAAAAGAAGGTCAAATAATGCCTCTCCACTGGCTCCTCCTTTGCCTGAAGGGTGGCCTCCTGACCGAGCCCCAAGGCCCTGGGGCCTCAATAAAATTTGAAAGAGAAAAGAAAAAACTGTCTTAATGACTCAAAGAACTATCAGAAGAATTGTAGAAAGTCAGGAAAACAATGAGTCAACAAAATGGAAATATCAATTAGGAGATGGAAAACCTAAAAGAAACCAAAATTAAATTATAGAGTTGAAAAGTAAAAAACTGCAATGACAAACTCACTACAGGACTTAAAGGCAGATTTGAGCAAGCAGAAGAAAGAATCACTGAACTTGAAGATCGGAGAACAGAAATTATTGAGTCTGAGGAACAGAAAGGATAGAACAAAAGTGAACAGAACCTAAGGTTTGTGCAGGATACCAAGAAGTAGATCAACATAAACACTGTGGGACTCTCAAGAGGAGAAAATAGAAAGAGAGGGGCAGAGAGAATAGTTGAGGAAATAATTGGTGAAAACTTCCCAAATTTGATGACACACATGAATATAAATATCCAAAAAGCTCAACAAACTCCAAATAAGATGAACTCAAAGAGACCCACACTTAGACACATAATAACCAAATCTGCAGAAGCCAAAGACAAATAGAAAATATTGAAAGCTGCAAGAGAAAAGTGAATCATCACGTCTAACGGATTTTAAATAAGATTATCAGAAGACTTCTCATCAGAAACTCAGAAGACATCAACAGTTGGCCAATATACTCAAAGTGCTAAAAGAAAGAAAGCGTCATACAAAAATCCTCTATCCAGCAAAACTGTCCTTCAAAACTGAAGGAGAAACTCAGGCATTCCCAGATAAACAAAAGCTGATGGAGTTTGTGACCACTAGACCTCCCCTGCAAGAAATGCTCAAGGGAGTCCTGCAAGGTGAAATGAAGGGACTTGACAGTAACTCAAAGCCATTTGGATAAATAAAGATCTCACTAATGGTAAATATATGAGCAATTATGAAAGCTAGTATTACTGTGACAACGGTCTGTAACTGCAATTTTGATTTCTATGTGATTTAAGACTAATCTTTTTAAAGAATTTATTAGTGTAGAGGCTAGTATGACATGAAAATCTAAAGGAGGTGTGATGGATCTGAAGAGGAGCAGTTTGTATAACTTATTGAAGTAAAGTTGGTATAACTTCAAATTGGAGTGGTATGACTACAGGATGTTAAATGTAATCCTCATGGTAAGCACAAAGAAAACAGACAGAGAATATACACAAAAGGAGATCAGAAAAGAATTTAAATGTTTCACTATAAAAATCAGCTAAACACAAAAGAAAACAGTATCACAGGAAATGAAGGACAAAAAAGGCTATGCGGCATATAGAAAAGAAATAGCACAATGACAGAAGTAAGTCCCTGCTTCTCAGTAATTACATTAAATGTTAATGGATTAAACTCTCCAATCAAAGACAGAGCTTGGCAGAACACATAAAAACACATGATTCAACTATATGCAGTCTACAAGAGACCCACCTGAGATCCAAAGACAAAAACAAGTTGTAAGTGAAAGGATGGAAATAGTTATTCCATGAAAATGGTAGCCAAGAGAAGACAGAGGTGGCTATACTAACATTAGAAAAAATAGACTTTAAATAAAAAAAAATTACAAGTGACAAGAACATTATATATTAATAAGGGTTCAATACTGCAAGAAGATATAACAACTATAAACATTTATGCACCCAATGACAGGCTATCAAAATATATAAAGCAAAAACTGACAGAATTGAAGGGATAAATACACACTTCTATGTAATCGGCACTTCCACAATTATAATTGGAGACTTCAACACCCCATTCACAGTAGTGAACAGAACAACTAGACAGAAGATAAATAAGGAAACAGAGGAAGTGAACAGAACAATCAACAAACTAGACCTCACAGTCATATATAGAGTGGTCTATCCAACCACAGAATATATAGCCTTCTCAAGTGCATATGGGACATTTTCTAAGATAGACAATAAGTTAGGCCACAAATTAATAAAATAAATTAATGTTATTAATAACACAATTAATTATATAATATATAACCTAATACATAAATAACAACATAATTATGTAGGCCACAAAGAAATATTAATCAATAGACTAAAAATATAGATATTGTACAAAGTAGTTTTTCTAACCACAATGGGATGAAGTTAGAAATTAACATCAAAAAGAAAACTGGGGGAGCGGGTCAGCCCTGGGGTGTAGCGGTTAAGTGTGTGCGCTCTGCTGCTGGTGGCCCAGGTTCGGATCCCCAGCACGCACCAAAGCACCACTTGTAAAGCCATCCTGTGGCAGCGTCCCATATAAATTCGAGGAAGATGGGCACAGATGTTAGCCGCAGGCCAATCTTCCTCAGCAAAAAGAGGAGAATTGCCAGAGGATGTTAGCTCAGGGCAAATCTTCCTCACAAAAAAATTAATAAATAAAACTGCAAAATTCCCAAAATTGTGAAAATTAAATAACATATATTTAAACAGCCACTGGCTCAAAGAAGAAATCACAAGGAAAATGAGAAAATACTTTGAGGTAAATGAAAATGAAAACATAACATACCAAAACTTATGGGATACAGCAAAAGCAGTCCCAAGGGGGAAATGTATAGCTATAAATACTTACATTAAAAGAATTGAGAGATCTGAAATCAACAATTTAACTTTACAACTTAAAGGAACAAGAAAAAGAAGAACTAAACCAAAGCCAGCAAAAGGAAGTATACAGTAATTATTAGAGCAGAGATAAACCAAACAGAGAAGGAAAAAAACAATAGAGAAAATCAATGAAACCAAAAGTTGGTTCTTCAAAAAGATCAACAAAATAGACAAGTTTGTAGCCAGATGGACTAAGAAAAAAGAGAAGATTCAAATCACTGAAATCAGAAATGTAGGTGGGGACATTACTACTGATTCTACAGAAATGAAAAATATTATGAGAGTACTTTGAAAAAATTTATGACAACAAATTGAATAACCTAGAAAAAATGGACAAATTCCTAGAAACACAAAGTCTACCAAGACTAAATCATGAAGAAATAGATAATCTGAATAGACCTATAACTAGTAAGGAGATTGAATCAGTAATCAAAAATCTCCCAATAAAGAAAAGCCACAGACCTCATGGCTACACTGGTGAACTCCACCAAACATTTCAAGAAAAACTAATACCAATCCTTATCAAATTTTTCCAAAAATTGAAGAGGAGGAAATTCTTCCAAATTCAGTCTATGAGACCAGCATTACTGTGATACCAAAGCTAGACAAAGACACTACAAGAAAAGAAAGCTACAGACCAACATCCCTAATGAACACTAACGTAAAAATCCACAAAAAGCTACTGGCGAACAATTTTGCAGCATATTCAAAGGATTATACACCATGACGAAATGGGAGTTATTCCTTGAAGGGAAAGATGGCTCAACATATGAAAATCGAACAATGTAATATGCCACATCAATAGAATAGAGGGAAAAAACCACATGATCCTCTCAACAGCTGCAAAGAAAGCATCTGACAAAATTCAATATGTTTTCATGATAAAAATACTCAACAAATGAGGAACAGAAGGAAACTACCTCAAGATAATAAACGCCATACATGGAAAACCCACAACAAACATCATATTCAATGGTGAAAAGCTAAAAGTTTTTTTGTCTAAGATCAGGAACAAGGCAAGGATGCCTACCTTTTTCTATTCAACATAGTACTGGAAGTTCTAGACAGAGCAATTTGGAAAGAAAAACAAAATAGAAGGCAACCGAATTGGAAAGGAAGCAGTAAAATTACCATTGTTTGCAGACGATATGTTCTCATATGTAGAAAACTCTAAAGATTACACACACACACAAACACAAAAAAATTAAAACTAATAAATCAATTCAGCAAACTAGCAGGATACAAAGTTGATACAAAAAATCAGTTGCATTTCTATGGTGTATTACATTAACCCTTTAAATGCACATTTTTTATAAATGCCCAGTATTCCCAATACATACTATTAAAAGAGCCCCATAGAACAAAGGTTATAATTAAGTGCTCAGTACCTCTTTTTGAGATGATTCATTACTTTGTAGCAGTTTCAAAGATAAGGTTTTCCAACTAAGAGATCTTGATCAACATTGTGGTCGAGGCTAACCAGGGCAATTTTGGTCTGCTAACACCTTACAGAGTTATCTTGATATAAGAATATCTTTGGATGGCAACTCTACCTCCCATTTCCAGAAGCCCCACTTCAACTCTGAGAGTTGGCATTTTAAATAGGGTGCACTTTGATGTCAAGGATAAAAGCACCATGGTAACTACATTTTAATACTTGTGATAGGCTTATTATTACATATAGTATTATACAATTTTGCTTCCTTTTCATTTAAATTTCTTTCTATTAATTACACATCTTTTCAGTCTCCATAAAAAAACCAAGAGTTGTTTGGCTTCAGGTACAACTTGTCACATAGAAAGCAAAATGGAATCAACTTCATGGGAACGCTTAAGAAGAGAAGCAAAACAAAAATGGAATTCACAACATTTACCTTATTTCCTCCAAGGAGCAACTTACTTACCCCTCATTACAAACATAGTGAATCTGTGAACCAAGCTCCAAAGTTCCATTTACATATTTTACTTCACCATTTGTGGGTTCTCCTGGATGTGGACATAATTTTCCTAAAAGATAATTTTCAAGTTCATTGTTTTATATGAATTTCAAGACAGATTTGAATCAAAATCAAAATTCTACATTGTTCTTTTGAATTAATGGGACTATTATTTATTTTCTTTAATTATTATAAGGCCAAACTTAAGATACACATTTACCTAGGCAACCAACTACCCAGAAAAAGATTTCCTGGAGATTTTTCAAAGCCTCAAAAAATACATTGCTCTCTAAAACCTGCATTCACATGAGAAAACCATAAGTGCAGCAGTGAAATATGTACGCTAAAATGTGTGAGTATCTGTAGAGCAACAAAAAAAGCAAAAAAACGTTTTGTTTGCTTACTTGTACAAGCCTCCTGGAGAGGTGTCCATTTGTTATCAGACTGACAGACAGCAGAGGTGGGAAGAGGAGGTCTCTTGAGCTTGTATCCTAGACAACAGTCATACTCTATTGTGTCTCCAGGGTTATAAGCGGATTGAGCGACACCCTTCAGCTTCATAGAATTGAATCTTGGCGGATCACCACAGGCATCTAGGAAGAAGAGGATAAGAACATGAAAATAAAGTACTTTACCTCTTTCACCAGCCTAGCAGCAGGCAGGTAGTACAGAATAAATGGAAAGGTTCTTGGCAACACACTAAATGACTGGCCCAGGCTTTTACCCAAACGGTGATAGTTATGGACGATGTGTCTTGCTTTATTTTAAATAACATTCTATCAGTTTTTGGTTTGTTGGGGAATAAGGTGATTTTCATTTAACAGTAAATTTAAGAGACAATATCAATGGTTTGGTTTCAAAATATATTTATATGTTTGCAACCTTCTCCACTTTTTCTAAATTCCTTCCAAAACTCACCGCTCCTCTAAGAAGTCTTCTATAGCATGTAACACTCTGCTGAGATTACTCTTCCATAGTTGGAAACACAAACTCATGATCACATGTCACTTTGGGCTCAGTCTCCTCTCAGGAGGCAAGTTCCTAGAGGTCAGGGACCACACGCCTTCTTTTTCTACTACACCCCGTACCCAGCAGGTGCTCACAGAATGCTACGGTAAGAGGCGATGATGAAATGAGCATCGTGGATTTCACTGACCAAAATGAATATGGACTGAAGTACATCAAAATAGAAGACATCATTTCATATCTTTACTATTACTGAATGGAGCATTTTGTAAGTCAACAGATGGCCATTTAAATATCAAAATGTACTACTTTGATAGCCTTACGTGAAACAGTTTTGCTTTCTTGGACATTATTTTATATAATTTAATCTTCCGTCGCTGATCTATGGATCAAGCATTCCCTCAGAAGTTCCCTGAGGTAGCTGTTTGAGCTGTTTATCCAATTATCCCTATAGTAAAGCTACTATATTCCTAGGCTTTTAGATAAATTTTTTACTTATGGATTTTTTGGGGGAGGGGCATTTTTTCTCCTTAGAATAATGTCATTTCTACTTCAGCAATTCCTCACACTGCAACTAGAATAATATTGATATGATACAATGACCAACCCTCTTCCAAGTCAGATGCTTGTCAATGGCCCCCCATTGCCCTCAAGATAATGTCTAAGCCTCTTTAATATGGTCAACAGACTTGTAAAACCTGTCACTCTCAGGACGCTGCTCACTCTTGCACACTATTCTCAAGCCATATTCCATTCCACGTAGTGCCCGTTAAGTTACTTGAAGGACATTAGCACTCTCGGCCTCCATGCACCATTTTACTCCAGCTGTGACCAGAGACCCTGCCATTCCTCCCACCCCACTCAGCCATCAGTTTCATCCTAGACGCCACTTCTTCCTTGAACCTCCTGACATCTCTCAATCAAAAAACTGGGTTAAGCGTCCTCACGCTGCCCCAATTTACTTCTTTCATAGCACTTTGCATATTGTAATTCTTTATTGTTGACACTCCTTGCGAGACTGTCACCTTCTTAGGGACCATGTCTCACTCATCACTGCATTTCTAGGACCTCGGGCCAGAGCTGACTGAGCACGGGTATCAGTTCTATACACTCTAAGGTCCAAATTCAAATTCTTTACTGGTCAGCCAACCTGTTCCAGAGGAATCTGCAAACCATGACTCTTTTCTTTGCTGTTTTTACACTTGTCTTCAATTTTATTTCATTGGTTTAGTTATAGAGAAATTCCTTTATCTGAGTTTTAAATTTCTTTCATGTCAAAATACTTATACTTTATTATTTTATTATACCCATTATTCTTTGTTACTGCTATTATATGAAATGGTATTTTAACATTATCAAAGGTAAACTCCAAATATTGTGGGTTATACTTTTTCCTAAAGTAAGGTAATGCAAGATTCCAGTAGTTGATTCTTACAATAGTGATGACAGTAATAATTTTAGAAATAGCAAATTTAAGCACTACTTGTGCCAACCAATAAGTGCTTTTAAACTAACTTAATCTTCATAATCATCCTATGAGTTGAGATTACTCTTCCATAATAGTTACACAGGTACTATTTACCCCTCCTTAAGATGAGCAAACTGAGGCACAGTAAGGTGAAGTAACTTGCCCAAGAAACATTCCCAGTAGATAGTAGAGCCAGGAGTCAAGCCAGGCAGCCTGGTTCCACTACCAACACTGCTTCCCGTCGCAGTCTCTCATCTGGAACCCTCGCGTGCTGACACCAACACACTCTGTCTGCAAGTTAGTCCTCAAGAAATGGTCTTCAACTGAGCCTGGGAAATTAAAGCAACCCTAGTCTAGATTTGTGTTGTGCTAAGTCAAACAGAAGGGCTCCAGGAGCCCTAAAAGGACAGGTAATAACATCGTGTGTGAATTTTATGATGGTGATTGTTCATTCCTGACTATCCTGTTGTTTTTCACAATTATTCACTCTGTGATCTAGTCCTCTCCTTTCTCTCGCCTCCTTGGCCCTACTGCTGCCTCTCTGGGTAGCCTGGCAGTCCACGAATCCCTGAACCTTGTCAAGTCTCTGAGTCTTTGCTCACACTGCTCTCTCTGCTTGGAACACCCTTCCTCCCTGCTCAGCAGCAATTCCTGCTCAACTCTCATCTGGACACAAAGATAATCATCTTGAAGCTTTATGCACTGGAGAGAGATTTGGCTACATAATTTCTTTTGTTGCCTATCCCCCAGGATTCTGGTAACCTAGCAATTGACCAGATAAGGACTGCTCTCTTTGCACTGTAAGGTGCAGAGGAAGGAAACTACATAAGTACTGTGTAGGCACTTATTGATCATGGCTTCTTTACTGGAAAGAAAGAAAAGACCTAAAGTAGACAGGAAAAACCATCCATTACAGGAAATTGTGGGTTTTGTCCAAAAAAGCAGACTCTTTCTGGAGGAATGAGACTGCTCCCAAAATTTGACAAATGTTCCCTTCTACGACCTCATAACATTTGGCAAGTACCTCTGAGATGACAAGCCTCCCAGGCACAATGGTGTCTGTTTACAAAACCTTCTCCCCATGAGCTGCTTCAAAAGTGAAATGGTGGGGTGCCCGGGCGTCGCAGCAGTTAAGCGTGCGCGCTCTGCTTTGGTGGCCAGGGGTTTGCAGGTTCAGATTCCGGGTGCGCACCAACGCACCACTTGTCAAACCATACTGTGGCAGCATCCTATGTAAAGTAGAGGAAGATGGGCAGGGATGTTAGCCCAGGGCCAATCTTCCTCAGCAAAAGAGAGGAGGATTAGCATCGGATATTAGCTCAGGGCTAGTCTTCCTCAGCAAAAAGAAAAGAAAAAAAAGAAAAAAAAATGAAATGTTCATTTTATCCACATTTTTCCCCACCCAATATAGCGAGTTCTCATTTTTACTCCTCTAAGTCTCATACTTCTCCTGATTTTACCTTTCAACCTTAACCTTAACCTTGTTTTTCCTCCTCTTCATTTCTAGTTTTATTACCTTCGATGATGCATCCTACTCATTTTATGTATTTTCATCTATTTTAAATAGTTTTCAAAGTCTCCTTCCACTTATGCCTTTAAACCTATTGTAAACATTATTCTTCTTAAAAAATTCCCTCTGGGCCGGCCCTGTGGCTTGGTGGTTAAGTGCGCGCGCTGCGATGCTGGTGGCCCGGGTTCGGATCCCGGGTGCGCATCGAGGCACCACTTCTCCGTTCATCCTGAGGCCGAGTCCCACATACAGCAACTAGAAGGATGTGCAGCTACGACATACAACTATCCACTGGGGCTTTGGGGGGAAAAATAAAATAAATAAAAAAAAAAATAAAAAAAAAATTCCTTCTGTTTTCTTCTTACCACCACTGTTCCACCACCCACTCCCCTCCTACGAAAAAAAGAACTTGTTAAGGATCTGTAACAAGCAAGACTGCAATACTGTGACCCCGGAGAGGCTACTAACTGGAAGACAGAGCCTCTCTGCCCCCGCCCTAGCTTTCTAGACACAACAGAAAGGCCATCCTAAGCATGGCGCTTTAAAGAATCTTCATTCTGGAGGCATGTTTGCCTGAGCTCTAAGCTCCCACTGAATAAAATATTTAATTTCCTGGTATTTAATAGTAATAAAAGAGTGTTGATAGAGGCAAAAAAAGTGGGCGTTTGGAACCACGAGCGTGACAAGACAGACAAGATCTCTGCATTCTAGCGGGGAGAAAACAGAAAAGATAGTTTGGGAAGGGTGACTACAAGTTAGGAGGAGTTTAAGCTGGAGAGTGTGTGGGGGTCTGCCTGAGACAGGGCGGTCAGAGAAGGTCCCTCTGAGGGGGTAGCATCTCAAATGAGTTTGAAGAATAAGGAGCCGCTTATGCAAGAGGCAGGAGGACCATGTTCCAAGGCTGAGGGAATACAAGTGCAGAAGCCCCAAAGTGGCAGAGTCAGCCTATGTGACGAACAGAAAAGTCTTCCCTGCCTCCAGTCACTTGTTAACTGCTCTCAGAGACTCATGCTCCTTTCCTCCAGAGCACCTCTCTTGGGTTATAACGTATTCATTAGTATTATGTTTTGGTTACTGTCTGCCACTCCCAATAAATTTTAGCAAATATTTCTTGATTACCTAGTGGGGATCTAACAATGAGCATAACACAGTCCCTGCTTATATTCATGTGTGTGTGCCAAGAGACAAATAAAGATCATGAAAACAGGAATAGTTTGTTATTGCCCACCAGTGTATCCTCAGGACCAGCACAGAACCTGGCTCAGAGAAGGCAAATCTTTGTGGAATGAACGCTGTTAAGGAAAGAATGCAGCATAGAAACTGTCTATGTAATAGGACCCTGAAAATAACTTGGTCATAGAAACACACGTGCATATGAAGACACAGGAAATATACCAAAGTAGTAAAAATGGCTGTCCTTTGTGTAAGTTTTATACAACAACATGTCTTTTTTACCATATATAGTTAAAGTACTTATTTCCATTCAATGAAACAAGAAACAAACTTAGTAGATAGGCCTTCACCTATAGTTTTTGAGCTGTAGGGGAAAACGAGATTAATATTATTTATCATCCATCTCTTAGGATAATCATTTCTCACTAGGTTTGGCTACCAATGTTTTTGAGCTCACTTCGGATATCCCCTCAAATATGATCTAACCTAAGGAAAGGAAGGGAACAATGTCAAAAAGCCATTTGGTAACAGAACTGGATACTGTCTGTACTGGATGGGCACAGGAAGATAACTACATGGCGAAAAAAAGCAACAGCCTGCAAACGGATACCAATAGGATCTTGGGCAACAAGCAGCCTGTGAACGTCAGGTACAAAAGCATGGCGCCCTTCCCAAACCCTCTAAACCCCAGGCTCCCAGAGCCTGCTCTCACCCCAGCGCTACAGGCACACCATGCACTTCCCAGCCCCCTTACACAGCGAGCAGTGAGCTTCCTTGCCCCACACTCGGCACCGCGGAGCTGGCCACGTCCTTAAAGCACACACCCGGTAACACCCGCCGGGGCTTCCGCAGCCCAGCCCAGCGGGGCACAAACACCCCTCTCAACAAGACACCACCCTGCCCAGGGAACAAGGGCAAACCCTCCCCACGGGCACAGCCCGAGTCCTAGCAACACCCCCGCGCACCCGGGCACTCAAGAGCAAGCCCTCACCGCAAGCAGCGGTCCGCGCGCCCATCCCGACTTGGCTGAGCGCGGGCACCGCCCTGCAAGCTTTGGCCAGGGACGCGGCTTGGCCCCGGTAAACGCCGGCCGCACCCACCACCCCGCCCCGCTCAGTGCCGACCACCAAGCACGCCTCCGCCCCCCGCACTACGCGGTCCTCACCCCCCCGGAGCCCCGCACAGCACCACCCGGGGGGAAGCCTGGCCACGGAGCGCCAACTCCGCACGGCCCGGCTCGACCCAGCCCCGCGCCTCCCACCCGACCCACCGAGCGAGGCTCCCCCGCCCTCGGCTCCGGTCCGCCCGCTCCCCGACCCGCTCCGTTCGCCGCCGGAGCGCACACCCTCTCCAGGCTCCTACCGGAGGACACGGGCAGCAGCAGCACTAGGGCCCCCAAAAGGACCCCAACGAGGCCCCAAGAAGAGAAGTGGCTCTCGGGGCGACAGGGAAGCGCCGTGCGCGGCGCGCAAGACGCCGTCATTTTCAGGAGATCCGCGGGAGTCCTGAGAGAAGGCGGAGCGAACCTTCTGGAGTCTGGTTACCGGACGCAACAATTCCCACACTCACAGAAGGTCCAGCGAAGAAAGGCGGGTGGGCGTGGCCTCTACCGCGCCCGGAGGTGCTACAACTGTCTGCACAGAAAGCTCTCCTAAAGCAGGCATTGTAAGCTGACCCATGAAGTGGAGCTACTGTCTCTCCCTTAGCCTTGAGATCATTTTAGTGACTGAGTTCAGAGGGAGAGTGTTGACCATGAACTTCCTAAGGTCCTGACAGGGATGGAACTCAAGAGTCAAGGCTTTGAGTGAAGTAGGGGAGTAAATACTAGGGGTTCAGCCAACTCCCCCTCAAGATATTGTCAAACTGCCAAAAAGAGAATGAGGAGAGAAGAGAATACACATGTTTGTAGACCAGGTTTTGAGCTGTGTGGTAGATCTCCTTAGGCTTTATGAATGGCAGGAGGGTGAGGTAGGTGTGTGGGGATGTCATTCAACAGAGGCCAACTTCTTTCACATAAAACTGAATGTTAGATGACTCTTTGCCTCCTCAATTAGTATACTTACATTATGCTTTTCAGAGGTGGGGGTTGCAGCATGAATGGGCCTGTGAATGCTCTCAGAAAAGGCTTTCCACTGTCATGGTGAATTACACATTAGGTATTTGTGAAAACCTGAAAGAGAATGGCTAAACAGAGGACAGTTAAACCACTTTTTGATGTTGGCCCTGGGAGCCCTGCCATCTCTATTTACACCTGGTAAGCACCTGCCAGCCAATTGACCTTCATATTTAGCTGTTCCCAGTCAGAGCATTACTGTGGTGTGCCACACCCTCTGCAAGGATTCTGCAGCCAATCAAGTACAGAAACGAGGGCATTTCTCAGAAAGAACATATATTCATTTTATTTCCTCTTAGCTTTTTCTTTTTTTTTTTTTTTTGGTGAAGAAGATCAGCCCTGAGCTAACATCCAATGCCAATCCTCCTCTTTTTTGCTGAGGAAGATTGGCCCTGAGCTAACATCTGTGCCTTCTTCCTCTGCTTTATATGGGACACCGCCACAGCATGGCTTGAGAAGCGGTGCGTCGTGCGCTTGGGGTTTGAACCGTCGGACCCCTGGCGGCCAAAGGGGAACACGTGCAGTTAACCGCTGTGCCACCGGGCGGGCCCCTCCTCTTAGCTTTTGAAGGCTTTTTGTGTGTGTGTGTGTGAGGAAAATCAGCCCTGAGCTAACATCCATGCCAATCCTCCTCTTTTTGCTGAGGAAGACTGGCCCTGAGCTAACATCTATTGCCAATCCTCCTCCTTTTTTTTTCCCTTTGTCTCCCCAAAGCCCCAGTAGATAGTTGTATGTTATAGTTGCACATCCTTCTAGTTGCTGTATGTGGGACGCCGCCTCGGCATGGCCGGACAAGCGGTGCGTTGGTGTGGGCCCAGGATCCAGACCCGGGCCACCAGTAGCGGAGCACATGCACTTAACCGCTAAGCCACGGGGCCGGCCCCTTGAAGGCTTTAAAAAGTAAATATATTACAAACCATATTCCATAAGTAGATTTGCAAAGATACAACCTTTTGTTTCTTTCTCATTATAATGGTGGAGACAGAAAGTTTAGTTTAAATGTCATAGTCTTATACTAACTTACATTTCACCCTTAAGTGTACAAAAACACAAACAAAACAAAACACAGTTAGAAAGTTAGCACTAGGAATAGTTTTGGAGACCAATTTGCCCAGCCCCTGCTTTTCAGATGAAAAATGTTAAGCCCAGAAATTAAGAGAGTTGCTCAAATATGCAAGTTAAATTAGGCAATGTAGTATTTTACATAATAGTATAATCAGTATTTTCCATAGATAACTGGTATAATAGAAAAAAAAACTCATGGATTTCTTGTAATTAAAGTCACAAACATCAGATATTTGTTAATCACATTGATCAGTGACATACTCAATTCTGGGAAAAACAAAGCCAAGATTTTTTCTTGTGATGGAGAAATTTAATTCTAAGAAAGGTCAATATCCAAGGATTTTTTGGATTAAAGAATTGCAAGTTGGGGAGCACAGATTCTGGTAGAAACCCAAATAAGTGTCCTGATTACAATAGAGGGGCTCAGGGTTTTTCTGGGAAAAAGAAAGGAAGATGAGGTAAGGTGTATTAAAGAAGAGTTCCTTGGTCCTGGATGAGATAAGGCTGGGTTTGTACTTCATAGATTGGCTTAAGATTCAGTCATCAGGCAAAAGGCTGGATTTGTACCTCATTGATTGGTTAGCTATTCCGTTGTCAGCAAAGTCCAGTTTCATCAGTCCTTCTAAATAGGATATTCTTGTCCTCACTGACTTCTTGGAATGTTGGTGGTTTGGTCCAGTTTAGAAGATAAAGAAAAGAAGTGCAAGGCAACTCATCTGAAATGGCTGCTCTGGCTCTATCTCAATATGGCTCCCCTCATGGCACCTTTCACAGTTGCTTCTTCAGAAATCTAGGAAATAATAAGAGATTTGCTAAAGTTTCAACTAAGCCAAACCATTGAGCATCTTTTTATATACTCATGGGCTACTTACCTTTCTTTTTTTGGTGACCTGGGTGTATGTCCTTTGCTCATTTGGGGGGAGGTGGGAGGAAGGTTGGTCTTTGAATATTTACTCTCTAAATAAGCCTATTACCCTATGTCTGTTATGTAAGTTGAATTTTCTTCTCCTAGTTTGTCAGTTGACTTTCCTTATGCTGGAGGGAGCTTTCTTTTCTATCTTGCATGATTTTTAATTGAAATTCAAGTTGGTATCCAGCTCACTCTTTATATTTATCAAGGTAAATATGACAGAATACACTCTAAAAGCAACTATTAAAACTCAGAATTACACAGAACTTAGCAGTAGTCATATACAAATCTATTGTTAAATATCCAGAAATATTCTGATATTTTCTAGTGATCATTAGCATGGCCCATAATATTGTACAAAATAAATTTTTGATCTATAAAGATATGGACCCATTAAAGTCTCCAGGGCCACTTATTTAGAAAGTGTCAATATATGTTTATTAATTTTATAAATTTTTAAAAGTCATGCTTTCTTAGTTAGTGTATTCTGAATCCATAGGAAAGTGGGTGAATTACTTTTATGATAAAAATTATTTTTTCATTTAAATTTTAGTATGTTTTTAATACAGAGCATAGTACCAAGAGCTTTTGAAATAGAGCTTAGGAAATATCCTAAGCTTAATTTTTTTCCAGATATTTCTCTTGACCCCTCTCCCCTATAATCATTTAATGCCTTTTTAATAAACAGAAATTACTTTTCTCCTAGAGAAGGTGAAACCTGACATAACATATATTTTACTCCAAAATGTGTAAAAGTAGTGGATTCTGCCCTCTAAAAGCAAAAGACGCTGTTTAAGAAAGAAAGACATGTCTGTGTATAAAAAAAATATATGAAGAAAGATTAGCAGAAAATGAATTAAAATATTAACAGTGGTTACCACTGGTAGCGTCATTTTTCTGATTTGTTTGCAGAGTTTAAGGATGAACACAGCTGCCTTCTTGGGGATGTAAACGGATATCACTTTTTTAAATTTTGCATCTGTATTATTGCTAATTGGTAGAGAAAAAAATTGGAAAGTAATTGTATAAGTTCAATCACGTCTTTAGATTTTTCATCTGTGTTATTGCTAATTGGTTGAGGAAAAAAATAGGAAAATATCTTAATTATATATAAGTTTAACTTTTGAAAGGAATTAGTAGCTTTCATTTTGAAGTTTAGGTTGTAATTTGCCTCAATTTTCTGAAATTTTTGCAAGATATTTAAAACGAAAGACATAACCAAATCCCACCTTTGAAGACTACGTAGAAACTTAGATTAGAAAATAATACTAAATGCTAAATGATGCTATTCTATACATTGTGTTAGAAGACTCTAAATTGCTTACAGAAAAGTGTCCCTGCCTTAAAACAACACATATCACTATTTCCAAAGTAATTTGATTAGTATATGTTTACCACAAGACTGTGACATTTAATCTTCACAATATAAATAGCTTTGCGCTGCAATCTTACACAAGGCTTCCTTTTCCCCTATAGTGAAGATATAAGTTCTGTTTTCTGTTCAATTAGGAACAGCAGTTAGGAGAGCAGCACTAGTTGTCTTGAGGTACATGAGAACTGACAGTAAAAGGAAGTATTTAATTACTTTTAAATGTCAGTAATAACAATCGTGTAAATAACAACAGCTAACATTTTCTGACATTCATCATAAGTGAGGCACTGTGTTAAGTGAGGTAGGAGCTATTATCCCTATTTTACAGGCAAGGAAAATGAAGTTTTTGGATGGAATGTTCTGTATATCTACTAGGTCCATCTGTTCTAGTGTGTCATTTAAGGCCAATGTTTCCTTATTGATCTTCTGTTTGGATGATCTATCCATTGGTGTAAGTGGAGTGTTAAAGTCCCCTACTTTTATTGTGTTACTGTCTATTTCTCTTTTTATGTCTGTTAATAATTGCTTTATATATTTAGGTGCACCTACGTTGGGTGCATAGATATTTACAAGTGTTATATCCTCTTGTTGGATTGTTCCCTTGATCATTATGTAATGCCCTTCTTTGTCTCTTTTTACAGTTTTTGTTTTAAAGTCTATTTTGTCTGATATGAGTATTGCTACCCCAGCTTTCTTTTCATTACCATTTGCATGGAGTATCTTTTTCCATCCCTTCACTTTCAGTTTGTGAGTGTCTTTAGGTCTGAAGTATGTCTCTTGTATGCAGCATATATATGGGTCTTGTTTTTTATCCAATCAGCCACCCTATGCCTTTTAATGGGAGCATTTATTCCATTGACATTTAAAGTAGCTATTGATAAGTATGTACTTCCTGCCATTTTTTTAACTTTTTTTTTTCTCAGTGTTTTAGTAGTCCTTCTCTGTTCCTTTCTTCTTCTATACAGCATTGATGGTCTCTTTAGTTTGACCTCTGTCTGAAAGCTCTACTCTTTAACTCCCCTCCTCCCTCATTTTATGTTTTTGATATCATACCTAATCTCTTTTTTGGTAACACACTATTTTGATTACTGTAGCTTTGTAATAAGTTTTGAAATCAGGAAGTGTGAGTCCTCCAACTTTGTTCTTTTCAAGATTGTTTGGCTAGTCTGGGTCCCTTGAAATTCCATATGAATTTTAGGATGGTTTTTCCATGTCTGCAAAAAAATACTGTTGGGATTTTGATAGGAATTGCATTGAATTCATATATCACTTTGGGCAGTATTTTCATCTTAACAATATTAAGTCTTCCAATCCATTTAGCCATGTTTTATAGTTTTCACTGTATAAGTCTTGTGTCTCCTTGGTTATATTTATGCCTTAAGTATTTTATTTTTTGATGTTATTTTATTATAGGAATCTGTCTTTTATCATGTAGTTAGGTGTTTCTATTGACTATATTTAGAAGGCATTGTCCTTCAAAAGGGGAATTTAAGCCATTCACATGTACTGTCATAATCGACCAGTTTGATCTTGCTTATAGGGTTCTTTCCCTTTTATTTAATAATCCCAAGGGCTAGAACTCCGCACTGTACAAGACCGACTCCATTCTTGCTCTGCTGATGCTGTTTCCAGCAAGAGAGATGGAAAGCTCCCTTGCTCTTCCTTCTCTCACCCTGTCTGTGATAGGGACCAAGTGGTTTTGAAGTGACATATTTTGATCTTATACTAGTATGGAATATCATTTTCTCCTTATTTTTTCATGTCAAGAATATGTGTTATCTAATTATTCCCTTTGTATTATAAGTTAAGCAGAGTTATTTCTTTACTTCATCCTCAACTTCCTATTTGTAGTGATAAAATGTATTATTTTATATCAGGTTTATTGTTGTTCTTTTCATATTCCATGAATTAGTCCTGCCATTATATTTAGTTTCACATCCATATTAAAAGTAACAATTTTGGTGACTTTGTTTAACTAGTTTTGTGCCTCATTACTATTTCTTTGATTTCTTCTTTAAAAAATTTACTCATGGGTTTGTGGGAATGATTTTTTTTCAGGCAGGAGGTATATCTAATTGGTATGTTTTGGGTTCTTTCTCATGTAAGGCTACATATATCTATGCCTTGTAGATAAATGATAGCTTGGATGAGTATAGAAATTTTATGGCACAGTATTTTCTCTCAAAACCCTAATTTCTGCTATGTATTGTGTGGAAGAGACATTTGATGCCAATATGAATTTCTTCTTCTGTTTATCTCTACATAGTTGCAGTATTTTTTTTTAATATGTGAAAGTCATAAATTCCCTCCATGTAGGTCCTGCACCTCTTATCATTAATCTTGCATTTGTTTAGTAAGCCTTTAAGATTCAAACAACCTAGTTGTTTTCTTTCTGGTCTGGGAATCTGTGTTCAATTATGTGCTAATTAATGCTTCACCTCTTTCTGCTTTTATTTTTCTCCAATCTAGATGTGCATGTGAGTGCATTTATGTGTATGTGTGCATAATTCCAGTTTTGTCCTTGATTAATTCTGGGGAATTTAATTCTGTTTTCTCATGATGTCTTTGAGTTTTTTTCAGGAATCAATCTCCTGATTATTGCTGCTTTTAAGACTCCCATGTGTTTATCAGTATGTAAATTTTGTAGATTACATGTTACAAACACATATCCCGTTTTGAGTTTATTCCCTTGTTTATTGGAGTATACTGATTTTAGCGGAATATTTTCTCTGATTTCTCCAATTGGTTTCTTTCATTCTCAATTGCTGTATCTTCCCTTATATTTCGTGATATTTTGATTTTCGCATCACAGAGAGAGCAGTGGGTGATCAGATGACAGACTCTTTACCTGAACACTACAAATAAGTGCTCATCTCAATGACAGTAGTCTCCAGAATTCTCAATAAAGCCATAAGCCCTAAGCACCAGGATGCCAGAGCTCTTGTTTGTTTCTGATAGTTCAGCACAGGACTTGCCACTGGGACAGGCTGAATTAATAAACTATGAGTTTCTTTTGTAAATATAAGCCTTATCTTCTGTCTTTATACGTTTATATGTAGAAATGGACTGTGGGGCTTGAGAATCACTAATGCAGAGGTTCTCCACCTTAGCTGCACATTAGAATCACTTGGGAAACTTTAAAGACACCTTATACCCAGGCCACATGCCAGATCAATTACAAGAGAAACCTCTGGGAGGTGGGACCCGGGCCGCAGTAAAGCTCCCCAGGTGATTCCAGTTGCAGCCGTGGTTCAGAAACTGAGGCCTGATCTCAGAGGTTTAGCAATCTGATTTAATGCAAATCTGCAAAGACAGCAAGAATTTATTTTTTTGCATAAACAAAAATGAATTAAATTGTTAGTATGGAAATCAAATTTTATGCTTTATTGTTGGGACTTGTGTTTTTAATTACTTATCTATACTCAAGCATTAAAGTGATGTGGAAGATATGTTTTCTACTAGACACATGCCTATAGATACTTAAATGTGGTTAACTCAAGGTTAGGTAATAACAGAGGCTATGAGCGCTGGGTAGAAATCAGGAGAAGCTTCACCGAATGGGCAGTGTTTGAGCTGAGCCTTGGAAGACGCCCAGGATCTGGACAGGAGCACAGGCGCTTCAGGCAACAGTGAACTAGGAATACAGCCGAGAGCACAGGGCAGATGGTCTGGCTTGACTGCGAGTAGGTTATTTGAAGAAATGGAGCAGAAAGAGAAGGCTTGGGAAGAACAGTTGGGATTGAATTGTAGAAAGCCGTCAAGCATCACGCTAGGGAACTTGGACTTCCTGCTGCAGGTGATGTGGTATCACTGACCCTCTGAGCAGGAGAGGCACCTGCGGGGCTGGGAGTGGAGAAGCCCGGACATGCTTAAGGCTCTGAGATGTGACGGCAGGAGTAATGATTGTGGGAGCAGAAAGGTTAGAGAAGATGGGCTCCAATTAGAAGCATATTCTGATTTGAGATAAAACACACTGGAAATAAACACATCATCGCAAACGAAAATTCTCCATAGCTTCATTTTATTTTATACCAGATTTGCAGATGCAATTTTCAAAAAATGAATAAAGACCACTATACGTGAGACTTATTTCAAATACATTCTTGCAGTTTTAAGAAACATTTAAATTCAAATATGCTTCTTTCCCTGTCATTGAAATAAACATTTCTAGAGAAAACTAGTCTCCCTTATATAGTTAAGTAATTGACACATAATTTATATTTTCACAAATATATCAATCTCACATATAAATATATCAAATTAAAAAAACTAAATCTGAATGAAACTACTATAAAAGCCAATTTATTGTGGTAAGCATAACAATCTTTGGTTGAAAAACACTTTAAGTAAGCTTTTAAAAAAATAAATAGTACAGCCGTCCTTTGCTTCTAAGCAAGTGCTACATTCTTGAAAAGTATGTGAAAATGGGTCCAGCAAAACTTCAACTCTATATTTAATTCAGAATTCCTATTTATTTCTGCTCAAACTTATCTTCCCCAAGTATGTCATCAGAGATTACAAGGGAAGGAGCACTTACAGTGCATTATAAACGTGTCTTTACAGAGTAAAACAATATTTACTCCGGTCCACTCGAGTCCCCAATTCATATCCTCCTCAGGCAATATGTCTTTGGCCCAATTTGTGCTATTAAATATAAGTGTAAAACAAAACTTGTAAAAACGTAATTTGAATTAGGGTGGCGGTCCCTCCTTTTCCCACTGGCTTATCTGAGAGAGACCCTGCCTGGTGTGAGGACTCAGAAGAGGGGGATCTATTCCACCTGAGCATAAAGTGCTACCTGAGCTGTGTTCCCTTTTTCAGTCCCTTCCTACAACCAACAGCAAACACACAAAGTTAAGTTTCCTTTTCTGAAATGCACAGCTTCATTCTTACTCTGCCTTTTAGCAGATGAGGTGAGATGCACACAAAGACTAAGATTCTGATATGATACAACTGGAGGTTATCTGATGAATTTATTCCCGACAAAACAGCCTACTCTTAGATGACATGTTTAAAACAAGACGTCGTTTTATTCAAGTAGGGACAGAAAACCACCTATAGCCAGAATTTAGAGTGGATTCTAATTCTCTTAAAGATGGAGTTCTCTCTAAGAAAAGCACAAGGCCACAGTGCTCACGCTGTACCACGGGCTGGCGTCTTGTTATGGGGGTTAGAGCTCTCTAACTTTTACAGAAGTAGCAACTGATTCTGAATCCTTACTGATTCCTTAGACTGGTTTATTGATATTAAAAAAGGTGAAGAACAAACGCCGTCCATAAACGTTACAGCTTCTTTACATCACCAAGAAGTTACAAATAATTTTTTAAAAAGTGGAATTTTACCCTATTAAGACTATTTTCCAATAATAGTCTTAGGGAGGTCAAACTTATTCAAAATCCCAGCTTTCAGTGTTCTTGTTTTTAATGCTTAAGTTCTGAAGAAGTATACACATATTTGCAAAGACTTTTTACAATAAACAATATATAAACCCCACTTTAGATTTGATGAAACAATGAATCAAGAGTTGGCATTAATCTTTGAACAAAAAAGATTTGAAAATCACTTTATGAATGAAATGTAATTTCATTTTGAACTATATTTCTCTAAAATGAAGATTTTACTAAAAAACATCATTTCCCCACCTTAATGCTATCAGGGATACTGTTTTGACTTGCCCTATAAATGCAAGTGTTATATATGGGAAAACAGGCAAGATGTTCACATCCAAATTTATACATGTTTCAAAGAAGCATCAAAGGATGGTGACTACATTCAAACCACATTAAAATGTTGTGACTTAATCTTAACAATTGCATTCATGACAGTGAAAGAAACCAGAGAATAACTTTTGTAAATCCTTTTTTCTTCCAGTTTTATTGATATAATTGACATATTCTATGAGTTTAAGCTGTACAGCATAAAGATTTGATAATGTATATTTTGTAGAATGACTACTATGATAAATTTAGTTAACATCCATCACCTCACATCGTTACAAAAAAATTTTTTTCTTCCTTGTGATCAGAACTTTTAAGATCTACTCTCCTAGCCACTTGCCAAAATACAATACAGTATTACTAATTATAGTCACCATGCTGTACATTACATCCCAGTACTTGTTTATCTTATAACTGGAAGTTCGTACCTTTTGACCAATTTCACCCAATTCCACCCCCACTCTCCACCCCCTGCCACCTCTGGCAACCAGACATCTAATTTCCTTTTCTATGAGTTTAGTTTTTTAACATGCCACATATAAACGAGATTACACAGTAATTCTCTCTCTCTATATGACTTATTTCACTTAATGCCCTCAAGGTCCATCCATGTTGTCACAAATAGCAGGACTTCCTTCTTTTTTATGGCTGAATAGTATTCCATTATATATACATATACCATATTGCTTATCCATTCATCCATCAATGGACACTTAGGTTGTTTCCATGTCTTGGTTATTATTATAATGCTGTAATAAACACGGAGGTGAAGATAGCTCTTCTACATAGTGATTTAGTTTCTTTTAGGTCAATACCAAGAAGTGGAATTGCTGGATCATATGGTAGTTCTATTTTTCATTTTCTGAGGAACCTCCATACTGTTTTCCATAGTAGCTATATGAATTTACTATAGATCTTAACATTTTAACAGAATCAAAAGATAAACTGATGCACTGGTTTGTGGAAACCATGTAGGGTGCCTGATCTGCTGGAATGGTTGATTTATTCTGGTAAGTGCTGTATGCAGTGCTAACCTCTGCTTCCCTACAAGGCAAGATAAAAAGACAGCATCAGAGATAAACATCATTAAGCACAGAAATTTAATTTCAGAATCCCACTTAGAAATCAGAGAATTAAAAACAAACCCCTGTATTTATAGTATCAAGAGTTCCTGAACTAGGAAATAAAGTAATTTCAAATGTTCAACTACTCTCCCTCTAGCAACATTTCTCCTATCCCTGTATGATATTTTTGATTCCCTCCAAAACAAGAAATAGAGCAATCGCATATAAAGTACTTAGTAAATATTTTCTCGTTTTAACTTAGGGCCAATGGGAAAGACTGGAGAGAAACACGTGTTTTCCTAATATCACAATTTTAAATCTGGCTCTGAAATGAAATTTTTAAAAAGGTAACGATTCCCACAGTGTTCAAATTCAATAATGCCTCATTTACACCTCACTGTCAAGGAAATCCTGTGTTCCAGTAAGAGACTCTCCTAAATAATTAAAGTTTCCATCACACTTTGATTGTAACAATAGATATCTTTCTAAAATCTATTATTCTGACCAGTGCTATCCAGAGAAATATAATGTGAATCACATAGGTAATCTTAAATTTTCTATAAGCCACATTTAGACAAGTAAAAGAACAGGCAAAATTAATTTTAATATACATCACTTAGCCCAATACAGTCAAAATATTAACATTTTCCCATTTATTTTACATTTTTTCATGCTAAGTCTTTGAAATCTGGAGTGTATTTTACACCTCTAGCACATCTTCCATTGGACTAGCCACTTCTGAAGCGCCTCATTAGCCAGTCATTGCTATTGCCTATTGAATTGGAAAATGTAGTTCTAGTCCCTGCCTTAGTAAATTCACTATAATAGACCAAAACTAAATTTGGGCTAGTCATGCTTCCTACAGCAAACACTTCAGGGATGCCTACCAATGTAACAGCTAACCATGTTAATTTCGGATACTTGAATATTTCTCTTTGTGGCGGAGCCCATCATTATGAACCATCACTGGCACAGTACTGTACTTGCAAGATAGCAATTTTTAAGGACTATTGTGGTGAGTGATTTAATTAGGCCAGTCAGTATTTCTTCAAGACTGTTCTATTTTTCTATTTTTTGAAGTCAATATAGTTTTTTGTTTCCGTAGTAGTGGAATCCTTTTCTTTAAATAGAAATCCAATATATGAGAAAGATAAATAAGCATTAATATAAATTTAAAGAAATATTTACTTGATGAAACAATGAAGCTATCTAAAGATGGTAAATATCTGAAACTGAATCACTAATTACAGATATTTTCTATTAAGTTCAGCGTTCATTTAACTAACTTCAAATGTTAATAGACACCTTGAAGCTCACGACAGTGTGGAAACTACTTTCCTGGTTGGCTTTAGCCTCAAAGGAATGCTAGGAGCCCAGGAAGACACACAGGGCTGGGTGGGCCCAGACTGCCCTTCTAGCTGGTATGTTCTGTCTCTCCCTTTCGCGTGACCACAGACACCACTCGGCTTTTACCAAGAAATTGCCCTTCCTGTTGCCCTTTGCAGAATCTCTCCCAAACTCTTGGTTGTAACCTCGGGTAGCGCCTCACGTTGTGAGTGGTGGGATACACATCTCCCTCTCTTCCTAGCTATGTAGACACACATTTTGGCACAAATAAAGGAACATTTCCGATTCATTTCACTCAAAGACAGAAGGTGGTTGGGGTCAAAGGGTTTAAGTTAGCAGAAGTCATAATTTTTCAAAACCTGAGGATTTTTTTGTTGGTTTCTCTTTCATATGCTAAAAATATTCTGGTCAAAGGAAACAGATAAATGCCTTTACAGAATTATTTACAAGATCATATTGAAAACATTTACAAAATTAAGTAAAATTTATTTTGGTTTCTGTAAAAGGACTTTTTTTCTCCCTGTACTTAAAATGAACAGATTCTGTGATTATTTCCAATTTGGCTAAAAAATTTCCTGACTTTTGGATTCACAGCTGGTAGAAAGTACAGGAAGCTAGATAGTCTGATAAAAGGATGAGGGGGACATTACTCTAATGGAGGCCTGACAAAAGCCATGAGGACACTTCACATTACGTTTAGAACAGGAATGGTAGAAGAAAACACCAATCACTGAGCAAAGGCAACAGGACTCTGAGTGTCCTCTGATGTTTCCTGCCCACATATCTTAGCTCAGGTCATTGCTGTCTCAATATTCACTGAATATTCTTCAAAAGAAATAACATCTCTGAAAAGAAACACAACAGGAAGCAGATACCTTTTAATGATAAAAGCAAACCTTTCTCTCATCTCTTCTTCTCAGAGGGAAATAAATTTTACTTCTCTATGGCTCTCACCAGTTAGGTATGTGCTGAACGGAGGAAGGGAAAAGGGCTGAATATAATAGTGACATCAAACCCACAGGCAGCGAGAGTGGCATAATAAGTGGGGTCAAATCAATGACAGAGAATGGAGGTAAAGCTGATCCCTAGGTTCATAAATTACGACTTTTCTGATTCTCACTTAGGAACTTGAAACAGGAAGTTTGTACAAGAAGCTACTTTAACTTGGAAGTCTTATAGATCACCCAGCAGATGAACAGATTCTGAATTTCTGTGCAATCTGTTTACCTCTGAAACCATTTAGCCTGAAGTGAATACTGTAAACTCTCTCTCTCAGAAAACAGACTGTGTGAGGAGAAGGGGTCCTAGACTCCAGCACCTTATTTTGAGGGAATACACAGAGCATATATTAAATCCATGTAATACCATGTTGGACATCAATTTTATGACGTCATACATTCTCAGATGCATCTGGACTTTTGCACTGAGTACGGTTTTTTCCCAGGCTCATTTGTTTTCAACCTGAGGAAGATCCCTGTAAAACTTAATACATGACCTCCCATTTTTCTGAGACTGATCTAAATTTCATAAATTTGCTATCAAAACTAATTACAAAAGATTTATTTATTAATTTTCTTTCAAATTTTTTGAAGAGTTTGTTCAATGCTCAAGAATCTGAGAGTTAAGTAGAAAAATGTTCAAGTTAATTTCATCCTTCAATTTTTTTTCCCATGACATTACACTTCCCACTACCGGAACTGGCCACTATATATACATTAAATCCAAAAAACTGTTGTAACATTTATTTAAGGAGATAGCTTAAAAATTACAAAGTTATTGAATTAGTCATTATTAATATAACATTAAAAACAGGTTTAAATTATAACAAATAATAAATAACCTTGATGGAAAAAAATAAAACCTATTTAGTCACAGGTAATAAAATACATAAATTATGCAAATAATTCTAAAGAATTTAGCAAACTCTCACTTATCCAGGAATGATTTAACCAGAGTAAAGAAAATCATGCATTTATGGAAGAAAAATCATTACAAATAAGTGAAAACATTAATGTAAACTAAAGGCATCTGTTTTTTGGAATCACACAGTCATGACATGGGAAACAGGACTCAAGCAGTAACAAAGGACAGGGAAGGGCTGTGGATCCCAAGACTAGAAAGTCTGGTAGAAACATTAGGTAAGAAAAGACACTGGAGGGCCGGCCCTGTGGCTTGGTGGTTAAGTGTGCACGCTGCGATGCTGGCGGCCCGGGTTCGGATCCCGGGTGCGCATCGAGGCACCACTTCTCCGTTCATCCTGAGGCCGAGTCCCACATACAGCAACTAGAAGGATGTGCAGCTACGACACACAACTATCCACTGGGGCTTTGGGGGGAAAAAATAAAATAAATAAAATCTTTAAAAAAAAAAAAAAAAAAAAAAAAAAGACAAGACACTGGAGGGGAAAAGGAACGAGTGTGTAGATGGGGTGCATTTCAGACCAATTGTGATCCTACTCTATTCTTAGCTGAAAAACAAGACACAGAAAACTATAGCAGAATACTTCAACCTTGTGGCCATCTTTATCAAGTACTTTAAATATGTTTAATGATCTTAAAATGACTACTTATACTATTTTTGTACTGTGCTGTGAAGGATGTAGAATGGCAATTGTGTTACCAAATCATCATAAGTACAGTTTACATCAAATCCATTCTGAACCAAGTTTTAACAGCAATTTGGGATTATCTGTGTCTGGTGCCCTGCTTCCAGAGTTACCCCTACAAACAGAGAAGTAACTGCATACATTTTATAGTCTTGTAAAGGAGTTTCTCAGGCAACAACAGCCAATTTGGGGAGAATATTATGGACATTAAATAATGCAAAGAATATAATAAAAATCTTGACTTTTTTAAAAGAAAATCAATGGGCCGGCCCTGTAGCTTAGCGGTTAAGTGCGCACGCTCTGCTGCTGGTGGCCCGGGTACAGATCCCGGGCACACTCTGACACACCGCTTCTCCGGCCATGCTGAGGCTGCGTCCCACATACAGCAACTAGAAGGATGTGCAGCTATGACATATAACTATCTACTGGGGCTTTGGGGGAAAAAATAAATAAATAAATAAAAAATTTAAAAAAAAAAGAAAAGAAAATCAAAATAAAGCTGAGTATTACCCCATACCCATTTAAAAATCATACACATAGGGCCGGCCCCGTGGCTTAGCGGTCAGGTGCGCGCGCTCCGCTGCTGGTGGAGCAGCGGAAGTGAAGTCCAGGCCCAGCAGCAATGTCACCTGGGAGCTCATCAGAAATGGAATCTTAGATCGCTGATGCTATCGAGCCTTTAATCTAGGGGAACAACGCTCAGATAACTGTTCAGCTTTAAAGGGTCTTTTAGTAGCTAGAAAGAGTTTTATTAGCACTTAACAAAGAGAGCTTTAAGGATTCTGACGCAGTGATGTTTTAAACAAAGAAGGAAAGCGAGGAGCAGACAGTTCTTTTGTTTTACTTTCTTGAGAAGTCATTTCTACACGAACATTTTGGACTTGTAAAAATATTCCACTGATAGTATTTCCTAGTCAGACTGCTGTGTAATGTAATTTTAAAAATACCCTATTGATAGTGAAATCAAATATGCATACCATGTATTCCACAAATATAAGATTTAAGATTCAAATGAAGGCATCATGAGTATTTTAAAAAGATAAGCAGTTAATATTTAAAAAGTTTAAGCTTTTTATGAGTGAAGAATGTACTTTTATGGCATAGTCCAAACCCAATGATTAATATCAAAGGAAAGTATATCACAAAACCATGAATAGCAAAAGTCTTAAAATTCTTAGTTTGATTTCAAAGCTATTTCCAAAGCAACAGGGAAAAAAAATTCACTAAAAATCAGAAATTCCAAAGCACCTAATCTTGGTCTGTACTTGAGGATTTATTCTTTCATTAAATTCTAAATTATCTCATTAAAATTTAAGTTTGCCGCTTAAAATCTCTATTCTCCTTAGAAGATATGTACTTGTACATTTTTTCTATTCTAACCTCCTCTCCCTTTTTCATTTTATAGATAAAAAGCCAAAGTTAATGTGCCTTGTAAATCTTACCCCTCTCAGCAACTTTAAGTTTAACCCCATCAGTTTTACTGCAACCTAGTAAATTAAGAGAACATAAGAGGGAAATCAAGTACTGTTGCTCTAATTCCCCAGTTTCACATGTATAAATAACAACTCAACGTGAAAAGAAATCAAAAGTGTATCTGAAGGAGACAACTACAGAGCTCCTTACAACTACCTACGTTACACTGACAAAAGGAACTTTTATCATGAAAATTCCTGTGAATTCAACTGTCCAAGTCCACAGTGACTTATTTTAAATTTAATCTTGGCCACTAGTCCAATTCAGGAAATGGGGTATACCCCATTAGGGTAGGGAGGGCCCCATGATGGTCCATGATTCACTGCAGAACTTAAACCTCAAATCCCACAGAGATTTTTTGTACAGTCATAATAGCTGAAGCAACTCTGCACAGGTTACTCTTGTTACAATTATATTAAAAGCAGCTGAAAATATTTTTAGTAAAGAAATACAATTCCAATGGCACACTCATGCAGGCACATTTTTAAAGAAGACGGCATGTGATACAAAGTACAAACAAAAGCTGCACAAACGTATGTCAAGAATGAGAAGAACCAATAAGTTAGAAGAAGCATGCTTTAATTTACCCTCTCTTCCTGGTGTGATATTTATACAGGATGGTGCCACCAATTCCTCCACCAACTACAAGAAACCAGGAAACAAGTGACATGTGACTGAAAACTAATTACCATGATTGAAAATCTAGCAGAAGAAATAAATGTTGGTTACGTTTCAGTGGCCACAAAAGGTTATTTTATTTAAGCACATATACATTTATATTCCATTTGGACTCTTTAGCATCTAAATCCAGTTCCCCGGCATCACTTGAACAGTCCACAGTAAGTCAGAGAAGAGGCCTTGCTTAATTTAGAAAATTACCCAAAGTATATGTGGGAAGCAAACTCGTATGACTAATTATCTTGAAAAAACATATATTATTTAGGGTTTGTTACTAAGTGGACATATAGAATATAAAAGAATATACAATCACCAAGACGAGGTAGTATATCATAGAAAATCTCAGGTTCCTAGACTGGTTTACTTCATTTCAAGCCATAAAAACTACAGAAACGAAAAATCATTAAGAAAATAATGTACTTCTTCACAGTAATATTTGAAGTACTATGAAAGACTGGGATACTTACGTACACAGATAACAATCAGAGCCTTGATTCCTACACCTGTGAAAAAATGAAAAGTTTGAAGATAATTGAGCACATAGGGACCTCCAGATAGCAGCTGTATTTTCATTCTGGTCATATCACCTAAAAACTACAGCAAAGAAAAATTTATCAATCTAGTTTTAACGTGCCTGCTAGTGCATCTAGGTCATTTTGATCACAGAACCCTTCTAATCAGATTCCAGGTTTAGGGTCTAACTTGTGAAACTCGTCATAGGAACCTCACTTTTCCTTGTTTTGTGCTGTAGCTACCACACCAGGTTATTTAGTAAAGGTTATTACAACAATTAGAATTCACTAGATTGGAGGAAAATTGTTTTAAAAACAATTGGTTTAGTTCACTATTCATTCTATCATTTCTAATGATTTTTTTAGGAATTTAATTCATATTTTCTCCCCAAAAGTGAGTCTGTGGAATAAGTCATATATAAAGTTCCATTAATTGATCACAAAGATGCTATTTGCTGAGTCTTCACAAACAATATCTTATCTTATCATCAACCTATCCTTATTCCCCACCCCAACAAAAAATTAAGACATAGTCCAAATTACCGAGGAAAATCTGAGAATGTAAAATGAAACATCAGGCACGTGGATAAAAATTATGCAGAGAAACTTAAACATGCATTTAAGTTAACATGTTCTAACTGTCCAGAGAGCAATAAATAATACTACAAAATCTTGATTTGCAGAAATGTTGGTCAGTAGTACCACTCCTTCTAAACTGCCATTATTTTTATTAAATTTCTATAAGTCAAAGCGTAAAATGTCATGTTAACTCTGCTGTTTTCATTTCAGAAAAAATCATCAACTATTTCACATCTTAAGATGGCACTGGAGTTCCTGGCACAATGACAATTTGACCACAGTGTTCAGAGGGAAAATATAACAAGTCTAAAGTGCATTTTATAAAAGGATTAACCTTACTAAGCTCATCTAATGTAAATAAAAGTAATAGAGAGTTTTCTTAATTTATTCATCAAGAAATCTTTGTATTTCATTTAACTGTCACAACTATACTTCATTATTTTCTTTAACACGAATTGTGTGAACTATGTGAGCCTACAGAAAGTGTGCTACACCAGCTGGTTATAGAAAAACCTCACCAACTTATAGTATTTTAAGGTTGTGTACACAAGGCATGAATAGAAAGAAAATTTATCTACAAATTGTCATCTCAAAGTAACACTATCACATGAGAAGCAAGTTATGTTTTATATATTTTAACCTACATATAACCACAGCATTTAAGAAAGTTATCTTGCCTTGCTAGGAATCCTAATGTGGGGGACCTCTGAAGAAATGTATGATCTGCATGTGTCTACACATACTACCACTTCCATTTGTCATTGTTTCTGCACTATTAAAATAACTACAAATGTCAATTATCACCAATTTGTGAAACATTGTTATTTCTCTAACTACAGAAAACTGAAATATGATATTTCCATGAAGAACTCTAGGGTCTCACAATGCAGGGTTATTAGTAACGAAAATAATACCTAAAGTTTTCAAGCCTTTAAGTGGTGGTGATTCATCACTGGGACTGGAATGTTCTAGAAAAAAAAAAAAAATGGAAATAAGTAAAAAGAAAAAAAAATAAGAAGAATAAAAAATAATGAGGCTTAAAAGACAGTTAAATTCACAGGTTTGACTTTTTGCCTTTGTACAAAAACCTTCATAACTTCATTTTCATATATAAATTATATTAATGCTTCTCATTAAAAGTAGTATCACAAAGTCTTATGAAGTTATATTTAATGTCATTAGCATTCTTCTTTCTGTCTAGTAACATTTCCTGTGACAATTCTGTGGTATAGCAAGAAAATTTATCATTAGTGTATTGTCAAAATTAGCCTACTGACTCAATGTGATTTTCCTTAAAATGAAAAGATACAGGAGGGCTTAATAAACCATTTAGAAGTCGATTTGCAATAAAAGGAAACTACAGCATAGTAAAGTTCATTTATAAAAAAACCCATAGCTAACATCATCCTCATTGGTGAAAGACTGAGAGTTTTTCCCTTAAGATAAGGAACAGGACAGGATTCCTGTGTTTGTTGCCTCCATTCAACATAATATTGGAAGTTCTAGTCAGAGCAATGAGGCAAGAAAAAGAAATAAAAAGCACCCAAATTGGGAAGGAAGAAACAAAATGATCCCTGTTCCAGATGACATATTTTTTTACATAGAAAATTCTAAAGATATGCACGTGCACACATACTCATACAAACACACACACACAAACACAAACCTGTTAGAATAAATGAATTCAGCAAAGTTGCAGCTACAAAATCAACAAACAAAATTCAGTTGCATTTCTACACATTAACAATGAACGATCCAAAAATGAAATTAAAAAACAATTTCATTCATAATAGCATCAAAAAGAATAAAATACTTAGGAATAAACTTAACCAAGGAGGTGAAAGACTCATATACCAAAAACTACAAAAAACATTGCTGAAAGAAATTGAAGAAGACATAAATAAACGAAAAGATATCCTGTGTTCATAGATTGGAAGAGTTAATTTGTTAAGAAGTTAATACCATACCAAGCAATCTACAGATTAAATGCAACCCCTATCACATCTT